TTTTTTTATGTCTTGGGCTGGGAGGTTTGTAAAAGTGAAGACCGTAAACAGCCAACGTGCGTATTTCCATCATACCCGAAAGAGAAAAATACCTGTCAGGGCTTCCCACTAACGCTGTGCAGGCTGCTTCCGCCAGGGTAGTTAAAAATCTAGTTTGCATTTGTTCGAAGAAGCCCGAAGCGTTAACAAAATCCATCTTTCCAATGTGACATCGTAACAAAAAGGACAGTTAGGGCTAACTAAATCGCTTTAGTGCAATATCAGAGCATCTGAGAAGGCTCCAAACTCTGCTCAGAGCTCTCTGTTCTCGCTCACTCAAAATATTCCCTTTTGTTCTCCAGCTGCCTATAAAACTCCAGAAGAGGAGCGCTCTCATTTTTACACTGGAGTTCTCGGTCCGGAGAGAACAATATCCTCCTACCTCTTTTGAAATGATACGGAGACTCTCACAACACCCAGGCGATCACTCGAAGCACGGATCTCCCTTTTTTTTTTTTTTTCTTTTGCAAGAGCTGCTCGGCCCATTGTTTGAAGTGGGATTCAGCGCGCAGCCCAAAGAGAAAAGGGAAAAAAAAAAAAATCTTAGGAGCCCGGTTTGGTATTGCACAGAGAAAGAGCTGACAAAATATTATAGCGTGTTTCCTAGAAGTACGTGATGAGAGCCCGCGGTGTGTTCCCGAAAGAGAGGTGTTGGTTGGTTTTGGTGGTGGGTTTTTTTGTTTGGTTTTTTTTTTTTTCCCTAAAAGATTGTGATCGCCTTTGTACGTCTTTCTTTTGATCCCACAAAGAGAATGCAATATACATATATGTGTTTGCTCTCCATACAAGAAATGCAAGGGACCGTACAATGGAATATATGGCCGGTTAGTCCTCATAATGCTTAGTTTTGCTGTAATTAATTGAAAACAGTTATTAGGTCGTCATTGGCAATAGCGTAAATAATTGCAGCAGATTTTTACTTAAAATTGACCGGTCACAGAGTGATAGATCGATTCGAGGTATAAAAATGATGTATCAAAACATCAATGTCGATTATTTGAAATATTGTAGTCGAATCTTTTTATTGCTTCATCGGTTAAGTGTCTGAAAGTGCTGTGTTCCAACATATATTTATGTTGTCAATACTGTCAAAACTGTCAGTTTTATTACAGTGGATTTGTAATACATTTCGGATTTGCTCATTTACATAAAATGTCCACCCCAGATACCCCTCCTTCTCCCCATCTCTGGAAATCTGTGTCAGTTTAATGAAAGGATTCAGGACTCATAGCTGTAGCAAGAAAAAAAAAGTGGAGATATTGCTCCAGTAAGTCCAATTTAAACACCCCTTCGGAAAGCTTGGGCTATTTCTAACTTGCCATAAGAAGGAAT